ACTTACGAAGTGATTTTTGTTTCTTTTTTGTTGTTGTTGAATTTTTTTATTGGTCAGAGCCATTTTCTTGGTGTGCTAACTTTGTTTTTTCCTGCCTAAAGCCTTCTTTATATGAGTATGAGCTGGTATACAAACTCAGATCAGTGAGGACCAACTGCTGATGATCCTGTTTTAAATACATTTCATGACCTACTTTGTGATGTGGTGGTTTTGTTTGTTTGTTTGTTTGTTTTCACTTTGAAAAAAGCTCTTCCAGGTGGACTCTGCTGTGATACTTCTGTAATGCTGAGGCACTTGCATGCTGTCAGCCTTGCTGCCTTAGCCACCCAACATGCATTGGAAGGCTCAGTAGCTGCTGTTCCAGATTTTGTAACCATTCTGGAAAAAAAGAAGGGCTGGAGTCTATGATTTCAATGACTTTCTACTCTCAGTCTTCATCAATTATCACTGAAAGAAAGATGAGACTGAGCACTGTATTTGCTTCTCAGAGGGACAGATGCATGCTGAGTAAATGGTATCTTATTGAAAAAGCACGGGAGGATAGAAGAAAGTATTGTTAATTAGAACAGGAGATGCCAAGATGTTGCTTTTTCCCCTGTAAATCTGGATAAATAACATATTGGCTTGCATACTATTGAATTGCCTTAGTGAGAAATTTATATCAAGATTTTATTAAAATGACCTTGTATATCACCAGGATTTAGATTTGATTCTGATTGACTGGAGGGGAGATGTTGGGTAGAGATGATGAAAAGCAATGCAGGTGAAAATACTGGTTAACCAATATGCTTTTAGTGTGAGAAATTAGTAAGATCAGTAGAATAAGGATGTCAGTTTGTCCTTTCCCTAATTTTTTTCAAACAAAAGTATTTGACATCTTCTTTGGTTTAGTTTCCACAAATAAAAGCTGAATGTGACAGTTAATGTGTAACACTATGGATAAATATACACACACCTTTAAACAAGAGGATGATGGGAATGCTTAAATCAATGATTCCCAAACTGTGCTCTGCAGCTAATATGCAGAGCCAACATTAGTTCTGAGCTTCCCATCTGGGTGCATCGGTAGTCTGCGAGAAAATCTGACATGCAAAACAGTTTGAAAGCTTCTGTGTTAAAAAAACTGGATAACTGAAGTAAGTTAATTCATTCAATTACTAGCTGAAATGATCAGTGACTCACTGACAGCTGCCATTAAGAGCTTATGAGGACTTCTACAGTCCTGAAAATCTTCAAGAGAGTAAGCATTTGGTTCACCTATTTCTACAAATAAAGGTGTCAGCTTATGCTGTTAAAGAAAAATCAAATTTGTTTAGGAATCAGTGTTGGGCACCAAACAGCTAGTAAGGTAATCATTAGCTTTTTGTCTGATAGGGTAACTTGCAAAAAGGATCATAACTTAAAAAGAAAAAAAGCTTTAACTGCAGTCCGTATGACTATGGCCAAATAGTAGGGGAAAAAACCTTCCAGCTAAAGGTTACTTTGGAAAACTCTGCCTATGGCTTCTATGGTTTTAGGAACAGACATGCATGCCTGGAGTAGTTTAGCTGTGCTTACCTTGCCACATAACAGGAGTCAGGAGTGGGTGTCCTATGGGGAACCTTTCAGCACTCCATTTTTCTGCTTGTTGCAGAACTGTTTTTTGTTCTTGAGGAAAGTTAGTAGGGAGAACAAAACTGGAAGCTGGCTTTGAAAGTTTTGAAGGCGTTCTGACTTGGCTGGTAACTAGAGCCATATGCATAAAAAGAGAATAATTACCCTCTTGAGAACTGGCCTGCTGTTCATTTTACGTCAACACCAGCTTCTATACTTGTTTTACTCAGGATTTAGGTCTGGTCTTTGGCTTGCATCTCTGTGTATATTTATGTATGTATGAGGTATTATTTACCTGCAGTGTAGGTGTCCAAAAAGCACATGCAGGATTGTCGTACTAGAGAAATGTTCAGTAAATCAGAGCAAAATTACTGTTCCCATTTAGAAGAGACATTGTATCATTTTTTGGAAAAGGGCAACAGGAGAAAGAGCTTAGTTTTCAAAACTTGATTTAGTCTTTGTTAAGAGAAAATGCTTTTGCTTTATTATACATTTTCTTCTCTCCACGTGCCTTCCCCCACATCCCCACCCTGTAATGCTGATCATTACCAAGATCCCTTCTATATATAAAATTGATCCTTCAAGGAGTTGCAAGCCGCATTGCTGAAGGCAGCAGTGACCTATAAGGAAAGACCGAAGTAACAGGGGTTGCTTCATGCCACAGATTGCTGAGGAAAGTCACAATATGTCTTTAAGCATTGCTGCATGCAAAAAGAAGGAGTATACTTTTAGTGATTTCCATGATCCTGGGACCAGGAGTGATGGCTCTATGCTTCTGCAAGAACAATAGAGGCAAGATATTAGCAAAAAAAATCATAAAGCAAGGCAAATAAAGACTTAAAATAGGTCTCCAGGACAGGGTGCAGAATCTTAATGCCTGCAGACTTTTATAAACAAGTTAAGACATCCTCTTTCCCCAAGGCAGGTAGATCATGTGTACTTCGGGTAACAGCTGTGTGCTGTTATCATAATACAGAATAAGGACAGAGTACTCCAAAAGCTTTACTACTTGGTTTGGCTTTTGTTTTTAAGATTAATAAAAAACACATCAGAGAGCAGTAGATAAATAAGTAACCTGCATTACTTGTACAAAAAGTTATATAAATACAAGTTTGCTGTTTTGTTTTCTTTTTAGAGAAGGAAGCCATCTTTTCATAAAATAGCCAGCAATCCTTATCTTAACTGAGATGCTGCCAAGTCACAGTTCAGAGGACAGACATGTCAAATTAAATCCTCACTGTGCAGAGACAACACAGTGGCCCTTCCAGATCTGATCCTTCATGTTTTTCCTATGCACAGTTATATAGCTACTACTCAACATGTGATCATCTGAATATGTTTTGCTATTAAACAAACAAAAATAATTCCCCATATTGCTTTTTGTTAACTACTGTACTAGAATTATCCACCACATTTTCATCATCATCATCATTATTGTTGTTAAGGAATTGTCCTTCATTCCATGCATAATTATAATTTCACGTGTTAAAAACATCATCCCTCCCTCATGTTATAGCTTATAAAGCATTCTGTGCACAGTAAAGTAAATCCCCAGTTAAATGCAAATGCTACTAAAGTTAAAAGAAATACACTATTACTGTGGATTTTAGAGGAGCAAAATTCTGGGGAGATTTAGAAAAAACCCAAAATAGTTTTACCTGGACAAAATAGTGTACAATTATTAATATTGCACTTTTTGTACAAGAAATCCTAATAAATATACAGAAAAGATATACATTTACATACATAGAAAGACATTCTTCTTTTTTTTAAATAAAAAGTTACACTAGTGTTTAGCAACACTATTTCTTGAAGACCCATTTTTAGTAAAAGTGTTCACTGCCAGATGTGTTTTGAAATAACCCAACTTGGAACAGTTTGATGTTATGAACCTGGCACTGACCTCAAGAGTGGACTCCCAGTTTTGCTGAAAAATCCATGTGTCACAGAAGCTGAAACACAGCAGTCCTTGAAGAGCATTTCACTAATGTACCACAATGAACGAACCCCACTGGGGTGACAGGAGCGGCACAGCTAAGCCCTTAATTTAGAGATGGTATTGAACCAAAGCCTTGGATCCAGATAGCTCTCCTTTAAACTTTCACATTGCTCAATGCCCCTACTTTGCAGATTTCCTCTAATTTTAGGGTCCTATTCTGAGCAGAGCAGACAGTGCCCAAGGATGAAGCACTTCGCTGGCTGAATAACCACTGCAGCTGGCCAGGGGGAAAGACTCACAGACAGCATGCAAAGTCATGCTGTGGGTGTGATGTTTGAGCCTCACTTCTTAGATAGTAGTGTCAGAGTGTTATTTATACATGGGCTTAGAAATGTGCCGGAGAGGAGAGGAATAAGTTTATTAAAAATTATTTGGATTAGTTGTCTGGGGCTGATACTGAATCTATTCTGTTTCTACTGAGTAGGAGTAACCACAAGAAATCAGATTACAGCTCTTTTCTTCTACTTGTACAAAAGCCTTGGCTGTCAGGAGAGAGAAATTTCACATTAGCAGGATAGGAAAACCTACTTCCTCAGGTTTCTTTCCAAAAACCCAGGTCTGAAAACACCTGAACTCTGGGAGCTGGTACTGCTCTCTTTTGCAAATAAGTGTTAGTAGGATGGAGTACGCAAAGTAGCTCCTGTTATGACATACAATTGCTATCTTTCCTGCCTGTACTCTCTAGAGGACAGCATTTGCAGGTTTGTACTACAGTCTGTCAATAGCAGACCATATTTTCTCTTCCTGGATAATGAACATAATCACCTCACTTCTGTGCTGAGGATAAACCTCCTATTCCCAGTCCTCCCTCACAAAGACAACCTGGAAACATTTTCAGGTGTGTGTTAGACTCACTTATGTTACACACCATTGTTCAACTTCATCAGACACCAGATCCTTAAAGATCATGAGGATCTGCTGAAATCATTTGAAGGCCTGGCATGAGATAGAGAAAGGAGTTTAGAAAGGAAAAAAACTAGGAATAAAATCTTGGATGTAACAAATAGGTTTATAAAGGAATATCATATGCTTATATTCTCAAAGTAGTCTAAGATGATATATCTGTGCACTGCATAGCTGAATGTTTAGCTTAGCCTTTTTTTTTTCTCCAGTACTCCATGACCCGTCAAGCTGTTTATTTGTTTCATATTTTGGTGGTCCAACATGGTGCTAGGTTTTTACTCTCATCTGCTTTCCCACCTGTCTGTTGGTGTATCCCTAGACATGTACACAGATTATAGGGCAGCCCTACTCCTCTCAGGCCCATTGCTGGTGTCATGGGGCTCACTGATGCTTTGTGGTCTACCCTCATGACCATGTCTTGTTGCATTCTGTCTCCCAGATTCATAGAAGGGAAAACTTGTCAGTCCCTTTACAACAACAATTTGGTAAAAGGTTATCGTTTCTTTTTTAGAGGGAAATAAATAAATAAAATGAAAAAAGAATTCCATTCCATTTATATTTTCTGTAGAAGTCCTTGCTTCAGTGAAGCACAGGCTGTGATCCCCTTGTTCCTCCATTTCCATTGCCTCTGTCTTCAAGCTTTTCCACAAGTCCCACAGCAGCGTGACTTGAACTGGGTAAGCTGGCAGAGTTTGAGCTGCTTCACTTTCTCACAGTACCTTGTGGTGTCTCTGCACTCCACTGAAGAGGGGGAAAAAAGAAGGAGAAATAGTGATGAAGCAGTGAAAGGAGGATTTCTTACCCGAGAACATTTCATGGCGTGGTCTAGAGGGGAACCAAGATAGTGTTGTGATGGGAAGTTTCATAATGAGCATGGGCTTGACTTACTGCAAAGACTGAATGAGGACTTCAAGCAGCCAAAGACTCAAAGGAGAATGTAGAGGGCAGCCTTTGCTTTCAGAGCCTGGGGAAGAGGGCTTCTGAGGCTGCTCCAACACTCTGTCAGTTTGTTGTCTACCAGAATTTTAGGGAGGCTTTAGGAGTTTCCTAACAGTTGTTAAACCAAAGATGAAGTAGTAAACAAAACTGGAAACCTATTTTAACAGAGTAGCTCAAAGGCACTTTAGCCAACCTTTTGCATTTGAAGAGACAGTGTGCAGGAGTGCCATCCCACCTGACCACGTGTTGTACTGTGCTTTTCACATCTGTGTTGCAGAACACAGCCTGGGTTAAAGGTGTTAAGACATTTTTTGAATTCGTCTAGGACTTAGGTACTAGGATCATTTAGAGAGTTTTTAGGGCTTCCAGCCTCCTGCTTTTGAGCTGCAGATTAGAAAACTGTCCAGCATCCTGCAAGACTTTGGGTGTGTTGTTGCCTGAAGGACACTCACTTCCCATGTTAAGGATGGAAAGAGGATCATCACAGAGCAGCTGTACAGCCCTCTCCAGTAAAGTCTGTGCCAAATAACTTCACTGTTGTCTAGGTGTGGAATATTTCTCTATAGCAGGAAGAGGCTGGACAGACAGCAAAGGTCTTGCTTGGTACCTGTAAGCTCTGTCAGTCCTCCAAGCATTATGAGGAGCAGCTGAGAGAGTTGGGATTGTTTAGTTTTGTGAAGAGGAGGTTGAGGGGAAACCCTATGGCTTTCTACAACTACTTGAAAGGAGGTGGTACAGAGGTGGATGTTGATCTGTTCTTCCATGTAACTAGTGACAGGACAAGAGGTAATGGCTTCAAGTTGTGCCAGGGGAGGTTTAGATTGGATATTAGGAAAAATTTCTTTACTGAAAGAGTGGTCAAGCACTGGAACAGGCTGCCCAGGGAAGTGGTGGAATCACCATTCCTGGAGGTGTTCAAGAAGTGTGTGGATATGGCACTTCAGAACATGGTTTAGTGGGCATGGTGGTGTTGGGTTGACAGTTGGACTCAATGATCTTAAAGGTCATCATCAGCTTGTGCTGCTTGGTGTTTCCCAAGTGGACATTACCATAGTGGAGCATTGTTTCCAAAGAGGCATATCACCCGTTCTATTTTTTTTCTTCTGTATTTTTTGTGGTTTGTTTGTTTGTTTGTTTTTGTGGTTTTTGGGGGGTGTTTGGGTTTTTGTTTGTTTGTTTTTGTTTTTTGGTTGGTTGGTTGTTTTTTTCTGCCTTCTTTTTTTCCTTAGGTTTTTTTGTTTTTAAATATTTGTAACTTTTCTAGTCCTTTGGCAGGCCCAATTAGTTGCTTGTCACCTGAAAGCAAGCAGTCTTCACTTCAGGAATTCCCATTCGGTCCACCCGCTGGATTTAGACTTACTGTCTGTGGTTCATGTTTTTCATTCTGTCTATATCATTAACAGTTAATTAAGACTGCATCAGCCATTTGACATGCTACTAGCAATGGGATGCAAACTCCATGCTAACACCATCACTGACAAGCCACCAGGTACCATTCCCCCTGAGGCAGTGAGTTTTGGACACTGCATTTTGCCCATGTTCAGACTGGAGGTTCCCCAGGTTGCTCAGCCCAGCTGCAAGGTCCAGTGGTGCATTTCTGAGAGACGGCTCTGCCTTCTTTCCCCGCCCTGTGATGCACTGCCTCCCCTCCTCTCAGCGACATACTGTTTTCACAGGGTGTGATGTTGCAGCGCTGCCAGTTTGCTGGCCGCGGCCTCCAGGAGCAGTGATGCTCCAGCACAGGCTTGTTGGTGCGGACATGCACGCAGTCCACGCGCCGGGACTGGAAGCCGTAGTTTCCACACGTAGCCGTGCAGACAGTCCAGAGGCTGACCCTCCAGTGCACACCACAAATGTCAGTCCAGCAGTTCTGGGTACTCAAAGGCCTGTAGGGAGGAGGGAGAGAGGGGTGATCCATCACCATGCTGCCCAGGGAGTGAGCACGCAGTGCTCCTGGTGTCATGCAAGTTCCGGGGACAGCAAGCCTTGCATATCACAAACATAATTGCTTCAGAGCACTGTATCGATCAGGTCTTCAATGAGTGCAAGTAGGGGTAACTCCACTGCACTGAAAGTCAGTTTGCAACTGCACTCAAGGACCAGACCCTCAGTGGGTGCACACTGGTATAGCACTACTCGAGCTAAATGACCACTTGAATTATTTGAACTATTTGAGGATTTGGCCAAAATGTCCTCTCCATGAAGTGCCAAATCAGAGGTCCTCTGAAAAGATGCAATGAGTCAAGTGGCAACCAGTAAGACCCAGCAGGGATTTGTAACTTTTTTATGGTTTTACAACCGGTGGTACAAAACTGATTTTCTGAAACCCTCCTTTTTCCTTTAACGCACTCTCACAGAAGATGCCTAGGCACACTTGGTTCCCATCTATTTGTCACACACGATAATGAATATACATGAGTAGGAGCCAAAGAGCCAATTATGTTAATTTTCAGTCATGATTAGGCATGATTTACATACCTAAGTCTTGTGTAAAGTAAATATGTTTTCACAATGCTGACAGGAGAGTTTATCTGCAAGAAGACAAGAGGTGTGGATTCCTCCTTTTTCACTAGTTAGAGCTTGTGTTTAAATAAGAGAGCAGGACACTAGCATCTTAAGAAGAAATAGCACAGCCTTTCATTTGGGATTTGGCATGCCTAGAAGGCTTTCCAGTTGTTGGCCAGCAAGTGTTGTTTTCTGGGGCTCATAAGAACAAAAAGTGAAGCCTGAACTTAAGCCTGGTTAGATTTGTACCATATAACTGTATGAGTTGCAGCATGATTTCTTTGTGACATAGGGAAAACTCAAAAGTCATCAGTTAAGTCACTACTCCACTCAACATCTCTGCAAAGGGTAGTGGTTTCAGACATAAGAGATTCCTCACCTACCTTGGTAAGGCACTGCATTGATCTGATGACACAGAAGTCCCATCTTTGGTCTGGCAAAATATCTGTCTGTGCTGTACAGCCAGCCGTGGTCCAATGCAAGGCCCGTTACACTGTGAACATAGAAAAATCACTTGAGGGAGATAAAAGGCAGGACATATTCCTTATTTATAATACTGCTGGTGAAATAAAGTGCATATTGCCCTGCAGTGACTGTTGAGCTTTCGAGCACTTCCTGCAGCTCTGCAGGCTTTGAAGCCTGAGCGTGCAGTCATCTTCTGCGCTACCTCACTCTCCTCCAGTATTAAAACTGCATTTCTATATCTGCTCTGTAGATTCATTGCCTCTCCTCTTCAATAGTTCAATCTCAAAGACATCTGTTAAGGCAAATAAAATGCTCTCATGTCACTAGCCAAGAGCCTGTGATCCATACAGGAAATCTCAGTACATTCCTTTTATTGTGCATTTTGCAGCTTGTACTGTAACAATTTATGGGAAAATAGTTAATAACCAACATTGAACCAAAACCAGATTCCACTCCATTCAATAAGTTAAAAGCATTGCAAGACAATAAACAGGCAGGCACAGGTTATTCAAGCTTATCAATCACATGCTTACTATTTAACTCTTCTAATCCTCTCCTTCAATTAAATCATAATTAGGTATAGGTATTAAACACACATCTGTGTTCTTCAAAAACTATTTCAACTGTTAGGAAACTGTTCTCCTAAGTATCTGGAAATTATATTCAAGAACAGACTGAGCATCGACGAAAGGGATCTTAGTGTGAGGGAGGAATTTTTGCCAGGGGAGGGCTGCTGACTGATCCCTCTGCTCCCTGCACCCCCTCATCAGTAGGAGCCCTGTTTCACACTACCATGAACTCCTCACATAATTCTCCCTTCCCACTGATATTTCTTCCCTCCATGATGACTGGGAGAGCGAAGCAGTGACTGCCAGGTTTCCAGTTGCTCCCTGTTGACTTTCTTGTTGAGCAAGGTGGATGGAAATCCCGTTTGTTGTAGCTTGTGTATCTGTAGGGGCTAGCAGTCCTCATCACCAGTAAGCCTTAGTCATTAGTTTTAAAATGATATGGGATTACATAGTGGACATCAAAATGCCACTAACATTAAATGAAGGAAAGGAATTCATTCTAGAGGTGGGAGTAGAGTAGGTGATCTGTTTATTTTCAATGTGAGTTGGGAAAGTCAGTTACTGCACCTGGGCAACAGGGACCTGATACCCCGTGATACTACTGAGACTGGATTCACTGAGCCACTGAGCCAGTGATATGTGCCTAACTGCAATTAGGTAACAGTCTTCTGGCTTGGAAACTGACCTGTATAGAACCATGTGAAACTTGATTTTTTTTAAGCCAGGTAGAAAAAATATTACATTGTAATGCACAGAGGTTAGGTCTAACAAATTAATTCAAACCTCTTTGACAGCCTCAGCTGAGTATGATGTCATGGGGAGCAATATAGCCCATAATGGCCTACAAACTAAGGATAAGGTAATTGGCTTTTTGCAAGGATAATCCAGTTCTTGGCTGGAATTCCACAGAGAGTGAAAATTTGCTTCTTTTATATAAAAGGAAAATTCCAAGCTTTAATCATAAATGTAATACAATAACTGAATCACGTTTCATGAGAGGAATTTCCAAAATATACAGGCAAGAGTTAAATGAACTTTTTTTTCAAGTAGTGAACAATAACAAGTTCTAGTAGCTAAAGACACTTTTTGCTACCAACATTGAAAAAAACCCCTGATGCAGCACAATGTATTGTGCATATTACCCCAAGCAAACTACTCTATTACTCTAACCTCTAATACAATGAGCTAGCATTTGCCATTGTTTTCAAACTGACTTACCACATATTAATTGCAAAAGGAGCTAAAATATTTAGTGATAGCTTATTATATGTCAAGATTAGTAGTTATTACTCTGAGTAATTATGTTCTTAGACTCTTCTTGCATGGTAAGAAGCCTTGCTTCTGTACCTTTACCTGATTCATTATTTCAATTAGATGTATGACTACTTTGGTTTTGTTGAACTGCTTTTTCTTTTTCCCTTAGAAAATGTTTATTTGACCAAAAGTGTTGTTAAAATATATCTGGCTTTAACCTCCAGCAAAATTGGCTTCTGTGTCTTTAACGCTATCTCTCATTCAACCTGGAATGCTATACCCCCATGTGAATTACCACTCTGGAGATCTTTGAGCTAAAATCTGTGAGTTTCTGCCCCTAATTCTGGAATATAGTGGCCTCATCAACCTTCTTATGTGGCTCAGTCAAGCTGAAGTGGAGAGAAAAGGGAGGAAAGCACATAGTAATGACCAGTCCCAGGTTATAATTGACTACATACTGACAAGCACCTTTTCAGGAAATCTCACAGCTCATAGAGAGACAAAGACAAAACTCTTCTGTGAATTCCCACAGTAAAGTGATTTAACTCTAAATACTTGAAACATTTGGTATTTATGGAGTGAAGCTTTTTAACATCTGATTGTTGTATGAAGCTGCAAAGAGAAAATTTGAAGATCTGCAAAATACCATGAAGTAGTCTGAAAATACTTTTAGCCCTCCATTTTGCTTTTTTTAAATGAAGCAAATCAATAAAGGTCCCACTTTTTGGAGTTCTCAGGCAACATCAGCAACTTTGTAAAACAGGGTCATTGTTCATCCTACCCTACCCCTGCCCCAAACCTGTCACAATCATCAGTCCTGACTCCTGCCAGTCAAAACTAAAACACATTCACTGGGTAGTAAGGGGAATTAAGACTTGCAGAAGGCTATTTTCCAGATGTGTCACCTGTCATTATAAAGAGGAGCTGCAAACCTTTCCACTGACTGAGGGTTATAGAGGAGTTTTCAATAAAAGTCCTACTCACAAGCAGCATTTCTAAGGATTGTGGGAAGCTACAGAATTCCAAGCATGCAGTGCTACAAATATGGAGTTGAAAGAGCTGAGCAACGTGGTTGACTCTTCAAAAGGCACAATCTAAAAATCTCAGGGCACAAAATCACTCCTCTCATTCTTGGTCACTTTTTTCTAGCTCATGCTAGGAGGTTGTCCTTGGACTGCTGACTTGTTCCTTACCTGGCCCCAGGAGGAAGCCACCCACTCAACACAGGGGTGCCTGTTACAGTTCTGTGTGTCCACGGGGTGCTTGGACACCTGGGCACAAGCCTCATTTGACATTGGGACAGAGCTGCCCTTTGCTGTCAGGCGCTGGCATGTCACTCGCCGCATCTGGATACCACCACCGCAGCTCCGTGTGCAAGGAGACCACGATGTTACCATCCACCTGTGAGAAAAAGGAGAATATGTCAGGGAGCAGATACATGCCACCATCTGCAGGATCATTGGTGTCAGCAGGTCTTTCTGTATTGGACCAAAGAAAGGCAACAATGTCTTGGCTCATTTAGGGTGTGATCTTGGAAGGTGCTGAGTGCCTCAGCTTCCCATAGTAGTTACTGAAAACTGCTCAGATGATGAAAGCAGAAAAAAGAGTATATTTTCCATTAAATTACCTTTCTCAAGGCTCTTTGGGCCCAGAATTCATTAGCTAGACCTTAAGACTTTTTTTAAAGGCTTAATAAATATTTCTAGCCCAGGCACAGGGCTTGGGCATGGCTGCAATTATATCATTGTGCTGCAGAGGCCTCGGTCACAGGCTACAGTCACAATGCCAGCAATGACAAGCACATTTACATCCCTTAGTACAGAAAGCTATCTCAGTAAAGTTGCTGGAGTAGCTCACAGACCACTTTGAACTTGCTGCTGACAGCATAGCCAAAAGCCTAGTGGGTCCTGCTGGTGTCTGCCTGCTCTGTTATGCCTCTGACAGCTGGCATAATCCAAAAAAGCCTGAAGGTTGGTCAGGGATGGGGCATTGCATAGTCAGCTCAGGGACAAAGGACACGTCTCTTCTTTCCTCTTGAGCTCTGACCATGCGTTCCCCAGCTGAGGCAGGGGCTCTGAATCTCTATGTGCTGGGGTTTAAAAAAATCCTGCCTAACTAGTAAAAAGCCTGTAACAATAGAAAATAATAGTCCAGGTCCAAACTCTCACCAAGATGGACAACACATTTTGTCTCTTTATGGATCATTAAGTGAAACACTCACATAGTAGGTTTTGGGAAGAAGGTAGGCAGGAACAGGAAGCATGGAACTGATTACTAGTTTCCTAAAGAGCTTTATGGTCAAGTCAGCAGTTTACTTCATTAAGTTTTTATGTGTTACTGGGAGGAAACAGTGCCTATCACATCCCTCACCTGCTGCAGTGTTTATGATTATTTTACAAAACAGGCAATAGGCATTCTCCAGTCCCACAGAGAGGCATCCATTGTTATTGCACAGTCTTCTGTGGGTCATTAACTCCCGAGACCACAGAAACAAGTATACAAACAAACACACTCTCAACAAGGAAAACAAAAGCACCGATACTTTTCTTCATGCAGTTTGGTGAGGTAGAATCTGAAGCTTCCACAACCCTTGTAAAAGCTCTGGTCTGCATTTCAATCGACTTTTATTTCCAAGCTTACATCTCAGCTGTTTCTTAGGAGCTGAGGGAGCATTGTGGTTTGTGTTACAGTTCAGGGATGGTATAAAAAGACATAAACCATTTCCAGGGAATTTACTGCCATCACCAAGGAGAACTGCTGCTAAAGAGCATGTTTCATATTTCATCAAATCTTTTTGTTTCCTTATGACTCAGCTGGCAACTCAGAAAACTTTTGCCTGCAAAGAGGGATAGGAATATATTTTAAAAGGTAATTAAACAGAACCTTGCCATATACCCAAGACACAGCAAGAATGGTAAATCTGGCTGCTTTCTTCTCATCAGGTTGTTTAGCACTCCTCCTTGCCTCAGCTTAGACTCTCTTTTTTAATGCAAGTCCCAAATCACTGTTGAATAAGAGAAGTTGTACTGGATTTCTCTTGAGATATTGACTACTTCTAAGGGCTTGTATACTGAAACACACCATGTCTGCAGTGGAAATAATGGAGAGGAGGAAGTAAAAACCCAGAAAAATATGTAAAAACACCTTTACACATGTCCAGTAAGGAGCCACTGAATTGCAAAAGCAGAACATTTTTAACATTGAGAGAGTATAACGCTACACTGACTCTCTGGATAGGAACTCAGGATGTATTCTTTGCAGCAAAGTGTGTCAAAGAAGGAAAGCATTTTGTGTGGGGAAGAAGCAGCAGAGGAAGACCCAAGTGTAGCCTTTCAATATATCCTGACTCCATTGTGTTTAACAGTAATGAAAAAAAACAGGGGATTGCAGGCGCAGAGAGTTACAATTCCAAGGAAACCACAAGCTAGCAGTCTCTAAAAGGAGGTAAAACTCAGTCTGACCCCCTTCTCATGTTCACTAGATCCCATTTTACAAAGGACATTTCCACCCTGCTAAGAGAATTCTTTGCAGTTGCAGCTACAGTGGTGCCTGTATTGATGTGTAGGTAACACAGGAACTCAGAATAAAACCCCAAAAGAGCTGTTAAACCTAGTTTCTTGTCTCTTATATTACTGGGATAAATTGATATGAAGCCATGCTGAATGCAACAAAGATACACTCCTACAGTTCTTGGGTGACAAAATTCCCATATGTACAGAGGTCAGAACAGGCATACTAATTTTCTAACCTAATTACTGAAGGAGTGAACTGTCTTTCTACCATGTACTGACAATGTTTTCCAGAAATCTTGCTACAATTTCCCAACTGTCTAGGCTAAGCACTCAAATTCCTTTTAAGCCATAACTTTTCTCCAGACAGGCACCAGAGAGGCTGCAATGGCATGATGTCCAGTGCAAAGTACTCTTCAAACACATTTTAAAAGCATGTATGACATTTTAACATGAGACAGACGAACCGTGAAGGGCAGTCTCTCCTGTTGCATGCAATGGGCTGCAGGGATGGCTTGGACTTCTCTTTGCAGTGAGATATGTTGACTTCAGCCCCATCCAGTAAGCACCTCAGCTGGGGCAGCTGCACCCCTTTGTGGCCACAGGAAGCCGAACACAACATGAGCTTGTCTACTGACCACTTGTATTCTGCCAAAAAAGTGCAGGGGAGACACATTAACACTCAAAAACTGCCAGCAGGAGACCCTTAGAAAAGAAAGAGTCAGAGATGTTTTCCAGGATGAAATATTTGGACTCAGTGTCTCACATGAAGGGGAGCTACCAATGCTTACAAGGCGTCAGGTAATGAACAAAGAAGGAACAGGATTCCAGTTGATGCAAGTCACTCACAGTCTTTGTTTAACAAACCCAATTTTGTGGTGCTTAGAAGCATCAGATGAAAAATGAATGACATGGTAGACTGAAGCCACATGCCAGTGATGCAGGATGTTGCATCTATATTTTTAAAGGGGTGTGATTTAGTGAAGATGTGGTTAACTGCAGTTACCAGCAGTATCTATGATTCTATGATCTTACAACAGTGTGCTTCTCACCAGGTAGATCATACAGATCATCCTTCCTGAAGATGAATGGGGAAGTTGCAACATACTTAAAATTTTATGACAAAGGTTAAGGACAAGTAAAATGCATCTCTACTACATCCTTGACAATCGGAGCAATGAAAGCTCCGTATGCTGGTCCAACCAGACTGCTCTGTTCTGTGACTTTGTCACCTTCAGCTTATTTCTAAAATATAACAGTTAAATATAACAGATAAATACAATAGTTGTATCATTTTCACAAGTGAAAGGTTTTCAAGCAAGAGGAAACTCTGAAACACTGACTTTAGCAGATTAACAGAGAGGCTTCTAATTATACAGGTTCGAACTGTGACACCTCTGCCTTGAATTTCTGGACAAGAAAATTGCCCAGACTCAACAAGCATAAGTATAGCTTGAATCAGTAACATGTGTTTTGTCCTCAGCAGGCTAGAGCACAGGTGTCATTTTGGTGAAGTAAAACCTAAGACCCTGCAAGGTACATAGTGGTTCTGAAAATCCATATCCATGGCAGTAAAACATAAAAACATTTATTTCCTGCTGTGCATGACAATCCTGGTTTCATATAGGAGAAATCCAGGATGAGAAAGGCAATGCAGGGAAGTCCATGGCAAGAGCTCCACAGGAGTGAAACTGGAGTTACCTTGTAGAGCCAGGGACGTTTTTTGTGTGAGCGAGCCAGCTTCATTCTGAGCAAGGCAGCTGAATTCACCATCAGGAGCATCATTGATGTTGAGTATCTGAAGAATTCGGCCTGCTGCCAGGAGGCGATGCTGCAGACTGAGAGGCTCACCAGAGTAAAGCCAGGTGATGTTTGGGGTTGGATGACCACCCACAGCACAACCTGAAAAACAGGGACATGAAAGAAACCTGCTGAGTACTGAAATAGCTTCAAAATTACATGCTTTGAAGTTGTAAAAATCAGGAAAAAACTGATTCCATCCCATTTTCTCTTCATTTTCTCGTAATGAAAAATAGGTAATTAATAACTTCTCAGCTGAAAAAAAAAAAATCCAAAAGCCAGTTAATCAACCATACGAAAATCTCAGATCAGTTTGGAAATATTTATATCAAGTCTTCTAAGGTTCCATTATTTTGGATCATCCTCATTTTAGTATTGAGGAAAGCAGGAGAAGGCAGTTACACACTTAGCATAAGCTCAAGGATCACGCTTGAACAAGCAATACAAACAGAACTTGATCTGCAAATCTCCTATTTAAATCACAGGGCCGCCCTCCTCTCTTGTTTTTTATATTAAAAGTCAAAAGTTTTTGTTACACAAAAGTTTACACAAAATTTTTGTTACATAAAAATCTGTTGAAAAACCAGAGATAAAATTGAGCCTTTAGAGGTTTTTTCATCACAGCAATTGGGAATTCTATAAGCAACAACCAACCAAAACCAGCAACTGAAAAGAACTTGCTGTTCTGAAGTGTTGGACAGGTATGCCTATGGATCATCAGCATAGCTGATGAGGTTTAGGTTCACAATGAACTTTTTGCCAGTTGAGCTGAGGGAGAGTCTGTAAGGTACTATTTCCTGTGGTCCTCATACCAGGTGCACACTTTGCCAGTTTCATGATGGATTACACAAGATTTGTGAGACTTGCATACCCTGGGAAACACAGCTAAATTGCCTTGCATGTTTCCTGGGGCAAAAGAAAGAAATAGGCAATTTCCATGGTGCAATCTATCCACATTAATTGCAGGGGTAGGGACCCAGAAGAGCCATGTACAAGGGATGGCACATATTATTTGGACTGCCTGTGGCTTAGGCTAGTCCTATACTTCCATGCTTCTCACTGATTCAGGAAAGGTCTGGCTAAGTTTCTGCAATCTATACTGATTGTTAGTTTGTTATACTGCAGCGTTACACTGTTTTGTTTATATTGGGCTGTATGTGTAATGAATGACTTTATTGTATACAAAATCCCTTCTGAAAGAAGTGTACTACATAAACACACATAACATATATACATGGACATTCGTACTAGCACTATTCAAAAGGAATGGAACAAAAAAAGGAAGAGTACCAGTTTAAAATACTATCAGATGGAATACTATTCTAAGACTAAGGAATAATGCCATCAGCTCATATTTCTTCATTGTCATCTCCATGTCATTTGATTATTATTTATTATTCACTGAGATAAATAAGGATATGAATACAACGTCTTTGTAGCTGCATTACGCAATGAACAGATACTGTATTGTGTCATTTTTGTTACTTTTCTTCTTTTCATTCTGGTCTGTCCACCTGAGGAGATCCTCAACTAACATATTGAGCAAGCACTGTTCCTATGAGAGAGGTAAGATGACCTACAGTTGTTGCAATCAAGATTTCATTTAAATATACATTTTTTTCCTTAAGAATTTATCTATACCTTACTGAGGCACTTATCACTGCAAGAATAAAAATACCATTTTATTAATCTGCCCATGAAGGCCAAACAGTTTGATTTCCAGCCATCACCAAGAGCATGTCCTTAAGACTTGAGGAGCACTTTAATTTGTTTAGGAACTTGCTGACCTTCTTTTCTGACTTTAGTCACACCCCTAAACCAACACTAAGGACTGGGCTACTGTAGTTTTTACTTGTCTGCCTTTTGCCACTAATCATACCTCCCAGAAGATGCTGTCTTGCCCATGAGAACTGAACTTTTCTTGCTTATACAAAGCAGAACTCATACAGGATGGAAAAAGCCGTGGTGACCCATGCCACATCCCAGCCATTTTCATGCTGAGGGGTACATCTGGGCACTGGGGAGATCCCATTTGCCACTCAGGAGGATAAATAGTGATCTTCTCACTGGTGCAGTGGCTACATGGGTCTTTGCTGTGTCCTCTGTTGCTGGTAAGTCCTGCCTGCATCCACAGTGGGGAAGGGCTGGATAAAGCTGCCCTTCAGGGCTGCTCACACTCTGTGTGAAATAGGAGTTAAAGAGACCAAGAGTGCCTTGGCAGAAGGTGAGTGATACACACAATAGGCTCTGCTGTTGGAATGACAATGTTTCACTGGCAAAGAACTAGTTAATGCAGCCAAATATTAAAAAAGAAGGAAAAAAGGAAAGAAAAAAGCAGAATGAGAGAGTGCACACTGCTCACAGTGGTCTCGCCTCTTCCCTTTTTCCACTTTTATTTATAAGGGTAAAGAGTCTTTGCTATTTATTTCAGTTTCTTCAGCAAGGTCTAATGTAGTTTTATCCTTGGCAGTTCTCTCCCCAGCGCTCACTTCCTGTCCACAAAGACAGATTTCTTTGCTGCTCAGTTCTTCTTCAAATTTCTCTAAGCTCTCTATTTATTCCTGCTATGCCTCATGTTATGTTATTCCATTTGTCCTGAGTACTGATATGTTTTTTCCTACTGTTGTGCTGTAAAACAACTCATCCAATTTTTAAGATACTGATTCTCAAGTACATGAGTGATGTGAAAGATTTAAGCCTTTCAGGTTTAAGGCCACCTAAGTTAAAACCAATGGAAAACAAAGGAATATACAGGAAATGGACAAACTTAACTGTAAGTGGCTGTATGACTTTTGCCTACAGTATTCTAATTTTTTATAGTTTGCTTGTCTTTTAAGATAATTGCAGGGATTTCCACAGGTCAGCATATAGCCATGACAACTGACAAAGTCATGCCTGAAGCTCATTTTTACTGTTTACATTTGCAAAGAGTCTGCACAGGATAAATGAAAAAAGCAGAAAGGTCAGTTTTATGTTAAACACAGTAGAACTGAAATTGACTTCAGTGTGCAAATGGTCCTAGTTCATGCTTGATTTTCTTTGAAAATTTTATTGTCAGGCAAAAGAATATAGTATTCCTAGTACTATTTTACTTGCCTTATATATTATTTCTTCTTCCAAAATGCTTATATAAAATATTAGCTAAAGGAACATCCAGTAATCAATAATATGGGTGAAAATCCCAAACATTATTCCCTAGATACATTCTAGGGAATAAGTGAGTAATTATTACTTTTTTTTAACATTTAACAACTAAACTTTACTAACACCTATGAGACTCATATGTAATGGATACTCCTCATTTGTGTATGCAGAACAAGCATCAATCACATTTCACTAGTGACATTTCCTAAATGTTTCCCATGTGTTTGGATGCATAAGCTGTAGGATAATGTTTTATGCATATTAAGTGAGAACCAGAGTACAATAAAAAATCTTGTTTCATTAATATCCCCTTCTCATCCCCCAGGAATAATTTTGACACCATTTAATGCAGATTACCAACACCTATTCTCTGTTTCCTCCTGTCCCTGTGGATACTGACTGCTTCATCCTTCCAAAGCTCAACACTTGTCACTGTAACACCTGAGAAGGAAAAATTGGCTTTATTTCCAGGCAGCAAAGCTATTGCGGAGCTTTAGTGCATCAGAACCCTTGGGAAGGTGAGGAGGGAACATTTTTAGGGACTGTTTCTGAACAGTGAAAGCTCTGGCATGAGAGGGCCCTTCTCCTTCAGCCCTTCTTAAGTAGAGAAAGAAAGTACTACCTTCCGTCATGAGTCATGGATGTCTAAAAGCTGGAGATGGAACCAAAAATGTAATACAAATTACATATTTTAGCAGCAAAAATGTTAATATTTCAAGGATAAGAAGGGGGTATTTGGAAAGGGAAGACCAATGTTTCACAACAATGCTAATAATTTATTGAGAGAAAAGAACACATGTACAGTGCAGGCCAAATTCAACTCCCCTTTGCACCTATGCAACACTTTCTGCATGACTGTAACTCAAGGAAGACTCTGGGCTCCTGTGCTAATGCTAAGACAAAAAATGCATCGCTCTTTCCCATGCAGACTTGAACAGCAGAAAAATAAAAATCAAACAAGTATAAAGGCTGCTGATTTTAGGAAACCTTTTTTTCACAGCCTAATATCTTAAATTAGGAGAACTATATAGAAAGCAATGACGAAAATGTCAAAAAAAATTTGCAAATATTAAATACAGTTTGTAATATAAGTAAAAAAAAAAAGCATTGCCTTTTAAAATATATGTCTATTCTTAAAATATAGATTATTTTTGTTCATTCACATTTGTGTAACAAATAGCTCTCTAGTTTGCTACTGACTTGTTGATTAATCCCAGCCAATATTTCTAATATTTATTACAGATGGAATCTAAGTGAAGGCTTCAGGTCAAGGTGAGTCAGTTTCTTTGAAATTTAGTTAAACAAAATAGTCCTACAGTCTAAGCTCAACAAAATACTTAGCTTTCCAGCTGAAGTACTGAAGCTGCTGTGCTAACACAGGCAAAGTCACCTTTTCCATTCTCCCAGCAGCTAACCAAAGCACATGGGGTTGCACGTTGTCTTACCTGGAGCCAGGACATGTGCAGCAGTGGAGCTGGAAATCAAACTCTTGCCTTCTTAATCTCAGGTCAACACTTTCATCTTTGGAAAGTATTTCCTATTTAAGTGATAGGTCTGGGTAGCATAGCCTAAATATAAACACACTGTGGTATGCAGTTTGGATCCATTGGTATTAATGTTCACCTACATGCTTGTACCTTAAAGTTCCGTTTTACACCCTTGCTATTCATCGGTGACCACTCCTTGCAAAATAGGAAAATGTTTGTGCTGTATTAGTTCAAAATACTTTGAATCAATAAAAAGAGGCTGAATTTGGAAAAAAGTAAGCATCCCCATTGGTTAAGGGCTGAATGTTTCAGGAAATCTTAAAGTACAACAAATGTAGCACAGAAAGTTGACAGAAAACTTCAGCTAGACTTACAAACCAGAAGGCCTATGCCTCTACCTTTGCAAGTCACAGACATGTACCTATCCCAACATAAAACTGGAAGATGAAAGATGACTGTCAGTTACTATCT